AAATTTCATTTAAGCTTACAGGTCTTACAGCCACAGTACATGTGAATAGTCGAAGCATAACAACATACACGTGTGTACATACAAGTATATATCTGGTACAGGGTGTACACACAATCGCTCAGCTCTGATGCTAGTGCTGTGGTGTGTGTTGAGCCGTTGCCAGCTCTGTTGTTGGCACTAATAGTTTTCAGCTCGTAAAAGCTTTGTTGTGGGCTTTTCTGCTACTTCGATTTCGCTTGTCCCGCTTGGCTCTAGTTTCAGTTGCTCCAGCCCCATATTTTCTCCAGCTGTTGCTATTGTTGTTTTTGCTGAAGTTGTTGTTGTTGATGCCACTGCTGCTGTTGCTGCTTGTGTGCTCACCGTTGCGGAAACTTCCCAGGCAATTTCCGCTTTAAGTACCATTAAATTCGTATTCGTTTTAATGATCTCTCAACATGATGCTGCTTTGCTTTCACTGCTGCTGCTGCTGCTGCTTCAGCTTCAGCTTCAGCTTCTTCTTCTGTTTCGTCTACTTGTCCGCCTCTCTTACTCTGTTTTGTCTTTATTTTAATGACATTCGATTTTGATTCCACAGCATGACTATCCAACAGCTCCAACAGTGCACATGATGTTTGCCATTGTTTAGAGTGGTAGGAAGACAACAAGGAGCAAGAACTTGAAAGTTATTTTGGCATTTCGGCAACGCCATGCTATTTTATGGATTGCTTGTTTTTGATGGCTCTCTCTCCCTACCGAAAAGGGCAGCCAACGGAGCTTCCGTTTTTCTGCAAATCGATTCATTATCAGCTCTTTCTTGTCCTCTACCTTCCTCCCAACCATAAGCAGAAGCAGAAGCTTGCCACTCACCACCTGGCACACGGACTAATTAATTTTTATGTCTAATTCCTCCTTGTTGTGGAAATAACATAAAACATTACGCATACGCATCGTTGCACAGAAGAAAATAAGCACACATTTACGTGTTTTTGTTTTCCCAGTACTCTTCAGCGGGCAGAGCCACGAAAATGCCAAATAAATAATTCAATAATTCGCATATGGCACAGCACAAAAGGAGCCATTCTGTTGCTGCTATTGTTCGGGCATATTATAGTTGCGTCTTCTTGTTGACTTTGGCCTTAGTGGAGAGCTGGAAACAAAGTTGGCCCAACTGCCATTATCAGGGATGGCTCGTGAGTTATCTTGGCTCATGGATTATGCTGCAGCTCGGGGAAACGTCGACTATTAGTGCCAACAAAAGCAATTATTTGAGTGAAAAGTTTAAGGTTGCAGCTCATGCAGCTTAAAGTGCAGAATACGGAATGTAAGGGGAGTGGAGTGTGCTAAACGGAGCTCCTGAAAGTTGAGTCATTGACGTTGCTTGCCTGTGGCTGCTTTACCAGGACTCGGCGTTGGCTTACATTATCTCAGTGCGTTTCAGGTTTTACGTTGCTATTAGTTTTGAAATAATTGCAAACCACGTCGACGGTCACCGCATTTAGTGTCCTGCAAAGTTTGCTAGTTGCGAGTACTGCCAGTTCCGTCCATTGTTCACTGGCGACGTGTTGACGCTAATGGTTAGTTCTGCGGTAGTGGCATTGTAAAGATTAGTGTGGTCCCGCTTAATGAAGTTGAAAGCAGCAAGGAGCATAGTGTGTATAATTATTCTGAGGCTGGTTGCAAAGATCTGCTTAAAAAACAAACATTAAAAACTGAAGGTCTTTGTTAACTTATTAAGATATATGCCTTTTTTAGTTTAGACTTAACTTCTCTTGTCCTACTTTGATCTTAAGAGCATTTAGATACCAAGTTTTTAACTACCTCTCATTTGATGCCTCTGGGAGTTGTTGAGAAGTCTAGCTGATATAGCGATATCCTCACACACACATATATAAAGTAACAGGCCACTCAAATATATCATATAGTTGATGTACAGATATTACTTAGATGGATGGTTAGATTGGTCCATTATATTTGCAGCAGAATTGTTTCCTTTAATCAGAGCTTAAGCCTGGTAGTTTACAAATCTTCGATCACAGAGTCGTATCTATACTAATATTATATAAAGGAAAGATTTGATTGTTCTTATGTTAATTTAAATTGAATGTGCTCCGAAGCTACTGGCTATATTATTCAAAAGTCCCTAGCCAAATAAAGAATTACAATCAATCGACACTGTGACTAATATCGAAGACACAGTCCATTACCCAATTTTTAAATTCGCTAAACCCTTCTGGACTGCAGCCAAATGAATTGCAGTTAAAGATCGGTATTTCAATCTTGATTTTGAGATATTTAAGCCCTCCGAGCATGTGCAATGGGACAAGGCTGCTTATTAAAGACAGGAATTGCCGGACAATTTAAGTGTAGCAACCATTATCAACGGTCCAGCAGCTAGTATATTATTAGTATAAGGACAGTCCGAAATTGTTGTCTTAAGTTTGTCAATTGAATTGAATTATTTGATCCTTTTATACTTATGATCTTCAGTCACGCTTAATTCGAAATATCAATATTCGACCTTAATGGAGTTTTAAATTATGTAATTGCTTCAACTGATTTGAGTAAGTGGATGTCACTCTATGATTGTAGATAGTGTCCTACATACTAATTTTTCACATTCACAAGTCTCATGTGGTTATACATATCTCGTCTATCCATCTTGGGTGCTTTTTAAACTGAGACCATTCAAAGGGCTCCTTCAAATACGTGCAAGTGTAAATAACCACCGCGCACGTAGAAATATTTCACTCAGCAAATTAAATAAACACCTACCTGTGTGCAATTACATTACGTGAAGGTAAAAGCCACCGCCGTCGGCTTCCACACACACACACTTACACAAACATACTCATAGTACATGTATGTGTTTACAGGTAAGCCCCAGAACCGAGTTGAAATGGCTGCCATATATGCTGACTAGCAATCGTCATTGTCAACTACTCCTAACTGTGCAACGATGGATGTGGCGGGTGGGGGGGCAGATAGACTACTTCGAATTTCCATAACATCATTTCAACAAGCCGTCGCCTGTCAGTTGTGCAATTTATCATATGTTGACATACCAACTGTCATTTCAACGTTGAAGGTGCCAGGAACCGTAGGGCTGCCACCCCATTACAGATCTTCTTCACTCACTTCGGGGCCGGCCTGGTGTTGTTACTGGTCCTGCTGCTGCTGCTGCTGCTACTGCTGCCACTATTGTGCAGTATTTTGTTGTTCACTTTCTGGCCCTTTTTCTTCTTGGCAGCCGTGGTTGACGCGTCGCTTTATTTGCCACATTGCAAGTTCTACCAACTACTTTCTATGTCCCTTGGGCAGTTTTCGACTTTTTGTTATTTTTCATTAACTGTTTGTCATGTCAACTGTAGCGTCATGCCGGAGCTCAAGACAACACTTAATTATGTTTTCTGCAGCGGGAAAAGTTTTGTTTAAGACAAATAGTAACAGCGTCCGAAATATAGCAACGAAAATCATTTTCGAGCATTTCCTCTACACTTTTCGTCCAGAACGGCAGTTCATAAATTATTTGGCGGTTCATGGCGGTTCTGCGGCTGTCATAGTCCATAGTTGCGGTCAAGTAAGTTAACGTTCCTACTTCCTATGTACTACGAGTATATTCAAGTCCGTATTCCGGATTTCTTCCTCAAAATGGAATGCTTCTAGCAATTTTCTTCAAATGGATCTCAACCAACTTTTATTATTTCTTAGCCGTAATTCTTTTAGAAAAGGATTTTATAAACTTAAGAAAACAAACTGGTATTACACCTAAAAATGCGTGACAGACCCTACCAAGCATACATATTCTTTTTTAGTATGATGGGCCAAATCCGTCGCCTGACGGACGTATTAACGCAAGGATATTGTAAAATAAAAGAGCTAGAATGCTATTAAGATTTAAGAAGAGCAAGTTTCTTCTTTTTTTTTTGTCTATCACAATTTGAGTTCTTCGTTTTAAGATTATTTTCATAGCTCTCGTAATTCCTGGAATTGAAATTTGGCAAAAATTAGATGCCTATATTTATGAAATATACTTTTTTTTCGAGTGTATTATGCCTTACATATTTGTATTTACAATTTAATTTGGCAGCAGGTGCGTCAGCGGCTCTTTAACAAAAGTATTGTCGGGGATGTTTTCACGGCGCTTGGCATATGGAATAAACTTTTCCACTTATTTTTCTAGCAAAGGAAAATGAAAAGTTTGCGCCCTGTGGTTGGCAAACTATGTATTTCCTCTGGTCCATTCTCCATTTTCGTGCCCTCCAATACATACATACTTGTACATACCCGTACATTTGTATAGAAAAATGTATTTATCAAGATGCGTGGTGGTGTTTCTATAAAATTTATTTTGTTCTTCTATGGCCAAATGTTTTTCTGCCGTGCACGCCGCTCAATAAATAAGTAGCGCCTTTGTAAGTCGTAATTTCAGGAAAACTTTATCGCCGCAGCAACGTTGGCAGCTTTCTGCGTTTACATGACAATTTGACAGTTGGGGTTCATAAAGTTTGCCCATAGCGCTGGGGCCCCGAAACAGGCAAAACAAAAACAACAAAAAAATGTGAAAGTAAAGTTTTAGAAATTATTTATGGAAAAAATGTGTATATACCTTAAAATTGGTGGCATGTATACGTTTGCAAATGCACTTCTCTGGTTACTAAGTATTTAACAATATGGCTCCTATGCCAGCTATAAGATATACCAGACGAACCTGGCTATATCGATTCGTCTTTCTTCTGGCGTACAACTACTTATCACAGTAATTTCATAGATATTACAAACAAATTCAATGGAGATATTTATCTTATTTAAAAAAATCAATATAAAAGCTTTAGCCATTCAGCAATAAAAAATACCAGACGAACCTGGCTATATCAATTCGTCTCTTCATGATAGTCTATTTACGTGTATGTTACACTTTCTTCAGGGCACAATACAACTACTTATCTGGATAATCGTATATATATTACAAGAAATTCAATAGAGATATTTATGTTGGCTATAAAAAATCAATCTCAAATAGATTTCGGTTACATTGCTACACAAATATTATTATTTGTCATGATATTTATTTACATTATTGTAACTTGGATTAAATCCTAAATTGCAATGTTAATTTATAGCCAAAGCAACTAAGATGTTCAGGCTGTTGTAGTACCTTTTCAACGGAACGAATTTGTCTATAAATTATTTGCCCATCTGAATGTAGCTTTAATATAGTTTTATACTATTGTTTTTATGAAAGAAATTTGGGATGATAATTAAGCCATATTCCGCTTATTGAGAGATCATGGAAGTCTATTCTTTTTTTTTCGAAAATATAATCATTAATTAAAAACTACTTTATGAACTAAAATAAAAATTTTGTAAACAGAACACGTTGAGGGTCTGTTTTATTTCGTCATTGACGCCTTGTGTTTGTCGTAGGAGCGTCCACTTCCCTTCTCTAGTTGCTTCTCATTATCGCGCTTCAACCGATTAGCTATCTGCTGCTCCATAACATTCCAGTCGTACATATAGTCGAACTGATGATTCAGCGATCGAAACAATATGCGGCATAGCTGACGCAAATACGTATAGTCGGGCTCATCCTCGAAACGCAAGTTGCGGGCATACTTCATCATTAGTGCAAACTCTGCGGGAAAACCCTTGCAGAGTTCCTCGATCGTTACGCTTAACTTCTTCGCCAGAATCATTTCGTATTTCTGCTTCTTCGTTGCGGCCACCATACCCTGCCACGGCAGTTTCTTCACATTGAAGTACATGACGCAGTAGCTCAAGGATTCAAGATCATCGCGTCGAGATTGCTCCACACCCTTCTGGGCATTGATGGAGGCGTAGCGAACGGTGCCTGTCAAATGGCGTCCGGTACGAAATGGAATGTGCACATTACTCTTGGCATCGATGATGCGCTTGGCCAGTCCAAAGTCAATCACGTAGAGCTTATTCAAGTGGCGGCCAGCACCCATGAGAAAGTTGTCGGGCTTTACGTCGCGATGAATGAACCCACAGCTATGCACGTATTCCACGCGTGAGAGCATCTGATCGCAGAGCATGAGGACAGTCTTTAACGAGAAGTGTCTCTTGCATTGGTTGAACAGACTCTCCAGCGAGGGTCCCAAGAGCTCCACCACCATGGCATTATAGTGGTTCTCGCGGCTGTGATGTAGAAGCTTCGGTATGCCATAGTGCGGACCGATCTGTTGGTAGACTTTTGCCTCGTACATCAGTTGCGGACATTTGGCGTCAATGCTTTCGAGCTTAATGGCCACCTCGCTACCATCCTGGGTGTTGACCCCATGAAAGATTTCGCCAAAGGAGCCATTGCCAATCTGCCTGATGACGCGGTATTTCCCACCAATCAGAAGGTTTTCCACGCAGGCATTCATCACGTCGTCCCCTATTGTAATGTTCGTTGGACTTGAGAAGGTATTGAGTGATTGAAAATCTAGGCGATACCTACTTAATTGATTTGCCAGATGTAAAGTTTTCAAATAAGGATGAGAGTTCATATGAACAAGTTTAAGCTGGTTCGATTGATTGGGTAAATATATCGAGCTATCGAACTGTGTTTTTCGTTATGGTTCACTTACTTTTCTCACAGGGGAAATCACTCAAGTAACATTCTACTCGCAACACATACTCCATGTGTACATACATACATGTATTGCGAGGGAAGACAGATACAATATTTTGATATTCAGTTGCGATCAGTCTAAGTGGACATGCTTGTAATGTTTGGCTTTGTTTTATATATATTGGAACTGCGATATTTGATACTCAAAATTTCGCAATTCATTGCACACACGTAAATAATATAAGCCGCTGCATTTCTGTTCTTAAATTTCACCATCGAATCAAATCAAACAATGTCTCAACTGAAAACAAGCCCCAAGACAAAATGCTTGAAGGCCAATAATTTTATCATTAATTCAAGAAAATTTATTAAATTCCACACCAAGTATACGCCAGAAAGAGAAGTGACCTATGAATAAGAACAGCAAAAAGAATCGATTCAGAGTCGACGCTTAAGAAGTTAGCTAAAAATCGATTGTATTTGGAAATTGATTAATCGCTTAATCGATCTTACACATTATCGATTTTTTTTTTTTTTTTTTTTTTTTTTTAGAAAATAACGATTAAGTCAATATCAATTATTTTGCAACTTTATTATGTACATGACATCTGATATTTAGTTTTCTAGTTCTTAAATGTGCTGAACTAATGCTAATGGTGACAAACCTGTCTATAGTCTCTACATTATATTTGTTAATGTTCGTACTTGAAAAAACTATAAAAACATTTGGGTGGTAATGGTTAAAACTAAGAGTCACTTTAATAAATAAGTAATGAACAAACACATAAATAATAATATACATAAAAAAGCCGCTTATGAGTTATAATGACACAGCTCCCGTTGTTGTTGTTATTTGTGACTGCTAAAGAAGAAGAGAATTAGTTAATAGTGCTGTGCAACGAATGATAAATTGTGACTAAACTGCAGCGATTTGAATAAAACCCGTGGCATAAGATATTTAACTCATTTAAAGCATATTTATGTAAGTATATTAGAATAACATTTACTTTAAATATAAAGTTGATCGTCAGTACCATTTCAATAGTCTGTTAAATACCATATCGGTATTTATTTGTTTCTGCAAATACATAGTTATTACTCTATATCCTAACGTTTATGTTGATGAAATAATGCTTTGAGGAATGTCGTGTCGGTTTGTAAACATATATTAAAAACAAAAATGTATTAAAATGAGAGAATAAAACAAAATGCGTGACTGAATTTTCTAAAACTTTGTTGGGTACCCTGCAGTTATGCTATCGATTCTAACCGACATAGTAGGAAAAATCAAAATTAGCGATACCAGAGGACCACAAATTTGAACGCCCAACAAAACATGACAAATGTTCGTCGATTTTCGGCGCATGTACATATGTATGTGTGTATTTTTTCTTACATCCCTATGGTACGCATTAGAGCTGGAGAAACATTGATGTTTACCCACATCGATGTTTCGATGTTTTAAGGCGCAGAACATCGATTTATCGATGCATCGAACTCCTATTAACGAGTTTTTAAAAAGGTTTTATTGATGTTTAAACACAGGGAACTTCATTTGGATTTGTTATATTATTTAAAAAGCTAAGGCTTTTTATTGTTTTATTTTTATTATTTATATCATTTTGATTTGTTATATTATTAAAAAAGCTAAGGCTTTTTATTGTTTCATTTTTATTATTTATATCATTTTTATTTGTTATATTTTTTAAAAAGCTAAGGCTTTTTATTAAATACAAAAGGTTTCAAAACAAATTATATTTTCACATGTTATAAACAAAATAAAGTGTAAGATACAAAAATAAAAACATCGGGAATAAAACATTGATGTCTAAAAAATATCATAACATCGAGGTATCGAAGCATCGAGGTTTCGTCCAGCACTAGTTCGCATCAATTGTGAAGAGCTGATTGAAAAAATCCCCGTTCCATGTAAGTGCGGAATTATAGCAAATATTCCGTCATATATTAATATGCCATGGTCGAAATTGTGTGTGCTTTTACGAATAAACAGTGAAGTCATATAAGTTTTTAAAAAGCTGAATACCGGATTTCTTCCTCAAAATGGAATGCTTCTAGCAATTTTCTTCAAATGGATCTCAACCAACTTTTATTATTTCTTAGCCGTAATTCTTTTAGAAAAGGATTTTATAAACTTAAGAAAACAAACTGGTATTACACCTAAAAATGCGTGACAGACCCTACCAAGCATACATATTCTTTTTTAGTATGATGGGCCAAATCCGTCGCCTGACGGACGTATTAACGCAAGGATATTGTAAAATAAAAGAGCTAGAATGCTATTAAGATTTAAGAAGAGCAAGTTTCTTCTTTTTTTTTTGTCTATCACAATTTGAGTTCTTCGTTTTAAGATTATTTTCATAGCTCTCGTAATTCCTGGAATTGAAATTTGGCAAAAATTAGATGCCTATATTTATGAAATATACTTTTTTTTCGAGTGTATTATGCCTTACATATTTGTATTTACAATTTAATTTGGCAGCAGGTGCGTCAGCGGCTCTTTAACAAAAGTATTGTCGGGGATGTTTTCACGGCGCTTGGCATATGGAATAAACTTTTCCACTTATTTTTCTAGCAAAGGAAAATGAAAAGTTTGCGCCCTGTGGTTGGCAAACTATGTATTTCCTCTGGTCCATTCTCCATTTTCGTGCCCTCCAATACATACATACTTGTACATACCCGTACATTTGTATAGAAAAATGTATTTATCAAGATGCGTGGTGGTGTTTCTATAAAATTTATTTTGTTCTTCTATGGCCAAATGTTTTTCTGCCGTGCACGCCGCTCAATAAATAAGTAGCGCCTTTGTAAGTCGTAATTTCAGGAAAACCCACATCGATGTTTCGATGTTTTAAGGCGCAGAACATCGATTTATCGATGCATCGAACTCCTATTAACGAGTTTTTAAAAAGGTTTTATTGATGTTTAAACACAGGGAACTTCATTTGGATTTGTTATATTATTTAAAAAGCTAAGGCTTTTTATTGTTTTATTTTTATTATTTATATCATTTTGATTTGTTATATTATTAAAAAAGCTAAGGCTTTTTATTGTTTCATTTTTATTATTTATATCATTTTTATTTGTTATATTTTTTAAAAAGCTAAGGCTTTTTATTAAATACAAAAGGTTTCAAAACAAATTATATTTTCACATGTTATAAACAAAATAAAGTGTAAGATACAAAAATAAAAACATCGGGAATAAAACATTGATGTCTAAAAAATATCATAACATCGAGGTATCGAAGCATCGAGGTTTCGTCCAGCACTAGTTCGCATCAATTGTGAAGAGCTGATTGAAAAAATCCCCGTTCCATGTAAGTGCGGAATTATAGCAAATATTCCGTCATATATTAATATGCCATGGTCGAAATTGTGTGTGCTTTTACGAATAAACAGTGAAGTCATATAAGTTTTTAAAAAGCTGAATATCAAATCATTAAAAAGTAGTGAAATGCGTTTGTTATTAAAATTTTATATGTATGTATGAATTGCCAAATATGTATGTCGCAACAAGTACACACATGCATCTAGATTGTTCTTCTTTAAACAAGTACATACATATGTATGTACATATGTATGTAAGTGATAAAAATGAAATAAAAGTAGAGATGTGGTGCTAACAGCCGTTTAAACTATGAAGCAGTTGCTCTTCTGGGTTACATAGTGACATACTATACATACATGAGGGGACGCATTTCTCATCTCAATTCTATGGCAGATCGAAATTAAAAATCACAGAATCAGAAGCACGCGGCTAAAGAATCCCAATCACTTGCATATTTCTCAGTGACTACAAAGTAACAGTGTTCTGCCTTTGTTTGTGTGTGTGTACACCAGAATGCAACAGCATCGGGACAATGCCAGCAACAGTGAACAAAGCGCCTTAACTTTCTAGGTGTGTGTGTGTGTGTTTGTGCGTGTGGGTGTGTGGGTATTTGTATAGCGCTTTGCAGGTGCGTTAAATGCTATTACCGTTGCTTCACACTAGCACACGGAAGGACGGCGCGTCGCGGGACGACCATAGAGCACACCTTTCACTTGGCAAAGTCCATTGTTAATAATTTGAGACAAAGGGCCACACGAAAACACTAACTAAGCACGCAGTAAGTAGTAAGTAAGTAGACGACAATGCACTGGGCCAAATTGTGTGGGTGGTGCAAAGTTAGTTACGGCACACCAATACACTCACACTCAAAGACGTTCTCACAGACAGACAGACAGACAGATGCATACTACACACAAAAGTACTTTGGCTTTTATGCCCAAGCTGGCAATAGACATAAAAGTCAAAAGAATTCGCAGTAGAAGACGACGATGCACTGTGGCTCAGAACTATTTTGCATCTGCGCATACTCTACACCTTTTAAACTAGTCCAGCATTTTGAATAACTAGGTTGGATTGTACAAATTTAAAAGCTAAGCAAATTTGTGGGAGCTATGAGTAAAATACTTTGCAACTAATTGGACTGGTTACACACTTTATATACCGAAAATAGGTAACATCAGGGGGTGCTATAATGTCGGGAAGCGAACGATGTACATACTTACTCAATATACAAGAAAAACCCTTCGTAGCCAGAAACTCAACGCCGGCCAACTTTTGCCCGCTTAAGAGGATACTTAGACATATTTTTTTTGCTTGTTTTAAGTGATCTACTTTAGGGGGTATTTAGTTGTCCAGCATGGCAAGGGGACAAAATAAAACCGTTAGCATCTCATTGGATAGTTGTCTTTCATGATATTTTTTAATGCTATACACAAGAGTTCTATTGAGGAATGAAAATGAGCC